CAAGCTCTACCGAGACATCTTGATATTCTTACTAAGCTTTGGACTCGGGGCGCGCATTTTCATTTTGGACCTCCAGTTAAAAAATGTGAGATGGTGACCAGGGACCCCCTCGGCCCCCAGCCACTGCTCTGGGTCCCTTCCTTCCTCCTCTTCCTCTCCCCCACCTCCTCCTCCTCCAGTCCTTTGGGCCTGTTTTATAGCAGACAAAGGCCAAACAGGAGGTTACGATCCCGGTTCACCCTTCTGTTTGTTTAAGGCGGCTTCTCCCTGCAGCCTGAGTGGGGACGCCTGCCCCCCGACGGAGTGGCAGCCCGGGGACAGAGTTGATTGACCGTCACAGGCGAGGGGAGGCTTGGAATCTGGTTCAGATACACACAAACACAGCACTGGAGACGCTGCCAGCTCCTCCCCGGCCAGTGGGTCCCTTCCCTCGGCACCTCCCAAGGGTACCAGTCCTCCTGGCATGCTATGTGTCACATGGAGTGTGGGCTGCAGGGACAGGCCAGCTGTGGCTGGGGATGTCTCGGCTGGTGTTCGCCCAGCTCTGCAACTCACTCGCTCTGTGACTTGTCACCTCCAGCATGAAGAGGGCTGCCACTGCATTGTTATAGGGTTTTTCCTCGCTCTACCAATCTCTCCCCGCGGTCTCTGAATATTTGAGCACCTGTGAGTCAGGGACAAGGGGAGGGAACTGTCCAGAGCAGGTTCGACACACCAGACATCTCCCGGCCACTCTGGGTCTTTAAGAACCAACCCCCCCCCATGCCCCCTTCCCCCCATTCTGAATGTTTTCTGGTTCTTTCCTCCTAAACTGCTCTGCATGAATTGGGCAGGAGACCGCACCTCTTACAGAATGAGATCAGGGCTGTTTCAGGCATTGGCAGGTAGGAGCCAGAGCCAAGCCAAAGCTAGTGCTTATTGACCCAAAAGTGCCATCGCCTTGGGATTTTTGTTGCTGGGTTTCCTGCAAGCCTATAAACCTGAGGTGCTACCCAAAACACATCACTCTGGTCTTCAGTGGGCTTAACCCCGTGGCACAGAATGAAGGTGAATGCCATGCATCTCCAGCCCACCTGTGGCCCTTTGCCTGCTTGGCAGGTAATCAGCTTAGTGGTGTTCTGTTTTTCTCGGAAAACTGTGCTCTAAGAGCAGAATTCCCACCACAGTCTAGAAGTGTTTAGCTGGTCTGATCTGACCCGTGGGAGAGCCTTGTGTTACCTGGTAGGTGAGCCTGAAGGGGCCCCTGCCCAGCCCCAACACGTCCCCGGCGTCCTGGGGGTCTTGATTGGTCGAGACTATTGGGGACCTTCCGGTGGGCGGGGGTGGGGGGGGTGCAGAGGGGAGGTAGAAAGCCAGAGTTGAGAGGAATCAGCTCTTCTGCACGCAGTACTTCCAGGTTGTCGGGGTACCCTCCTTCCTCGCCGTCACCTGTCATAGCTAGGGGGGCGGAGGGCATCTATCTAAGGACCGTGGCTCCCTTCAGTGCTTGGCAGGAGACTGTCAGCCCAACCAGTCCTCACCCACAGCCTAGAAAGCAGCTGCCACTCAGGGGGGTTGGTGCCTGGACGGGGCCATTAGACAGGAACTGACCATCTGACATCTGGTCGCCACTCCCTGGCCCTGGGACACAAGTCCTCTGGTCCTCTGTTGCCACCGTGTCTACAAATGAAATGTGAAATGACACATGGCAGCGGGGGACAGGGGCCCTCTCTTTTTCCCTGTCCTGTGTGTCTGCTCCCATAGGCTGGACACAGGGAGAGCGGGTCGCCCTGCAGGCCCCTTTCCCAGGCCTGGCCCTGGAAGTGCCTTTCCTGTGTGGTGTTTGGCGGCCACGAGGCGCTGCCTGGGCCCTGCTATTTAAAACCCACAGGAAAAACCCCTGTGCGCCGCTGCTGCCAGCAGTGAAGTCCCCGGCGTGAAGCCCGCCCGCTCGGTGGAAGATTCCACCGCCCTGCATGGCGCAGGGCGGCCACGGGGCAGAGGCTGTCGTGGCCTTGGCCACGTGGGGCTTCTTTCCAGTTGCAGAAACACTTGCTCACAGAGGAGCCAGGAAAGGGCAGGCTGAGCAGAACGTGCCCGTTTACTCCGAGCCCAGGGAGGCTCTTGGGTCCCGTGAACTATCAGAGGCCCCCCAGCACCTGCTTCTTGCTGGACCCCTGGCCTTTCCTCTCTGAAGAGAGTTCAGGATCCCGCGGTTTCCCAGCGCCCAGTTCTCCTATTTGGGCGGCAGCCTTCCTGTTCTCATGCAGTTATGTTCTCTCCTGCCTCCCATCCCAGAGGTGCAGGTCACAGGCTCAGTGTGTCCCCATCGGTCTCTGGAGAGCTGTGTCCCAACAGGGTAGGCCTGACCCAGCCCAAGGTGCCGTGGTCTTTATTCCAGTAACTTCACCAGCACCCCTGCCCAGCTGCAGACTGACAGCCCCCGGGATAAGCTTTAGAGACCCCTCTCCCTGAACACAGAGCTAAGACTCTCCCACAGACACCCATGGTCTGCTGATGGCTTTGCCTCCTGCTACCAGGGGAACCTGTGTTATTCCCATTGTGCAGTTGAGATCATGGCTCCTCCCACAGGTGAGTCAGGAACTGTTTGGGGTTCGTCAGGGGGAGCAGGTGGGGCCAGGACCCCAGGCCCAGGTGGGCCCACTGCCCACCCCTCAGCCTCTGTTCCCATAGCCCCCTCCCTGCCATGAGCCGGGAACATCTTCTTTCTTCTCCCAAGTCTCCCTAAACTACCTCTGCTGACTGTGGCCCCTGGGCCTCCCTTCCCCGCAGGCTTGGCTTCTCCCTGCCCCTGGGACCCGTCTTCTCTGGTCTTCTGTTGCCATCATGTCTGTGACACATGGCAGCAGGGGGACAGGGGCCCTCTCTAATCTTCCCCTGAATGGCCTTCTCTGTTGGGATGTGGGAGGTCATTGTCCAGAGTCCTGGAGTGTCTGTCAATCAGTCCAAGGAGGCTGGTGGACCGGGGTCCACCCCTCACTAAACAGGTGAGGAAACAGGCTCGAACAAAGGCCGTGTGGGTTTAGCTGTTCCCTGATGGGGCGTCACAGGATGAGGTTGGCCCTGGATGGAAAGTGCTCTGCCCTGCCCCCACCCCACCCCTGGACCTGTGGGACCCTCATTCCCCTGGGCTCGGTTGCCAGAGGAGACCAGGCAGGTGGTGGCCGACTGCACACTTTTCCTCTGGATCCACCTTAATGTCTCCCCTTGCGTTTAGCCAGCCCTGCTTGGCGCATCCCACGGAATTAGGTTTTTCCATTGTTGCTTCAGCATTGTCTGCCCGGATTGTTTGTGCAGCCTTTTGGGCGCTGAGATAAGAAATACCTCGCCTTCCTTAGCCTTCTTTGGTGATCTCCATCAGCAGGATCTAGGAAAAACACCCTTGTCAGTAAAGGCCCAGCCCTCCGTCACATGGCCCGGGAGCACAGGCCTTACTTAAGCCAGATCACGTGTGGCAGATGGTCGGCACAGGGCTTCTGGGATGGGGATAGAAATGACCAGGTTCAGGAGGGAAGAATTCTTCTCCTTAAACAGCTTTTAACTTAAAAACTTGGTGGTAGAAGCGGCCAATCTCAACAAAGAGAGAAGAAGCAAAGGAAGCTGAGTTAACCTTGATCTCAGCTTGGGCTCCAGCAGCCTCCACAGCCGGAGCCTGTCCAGCCCCCTCTGGGCAGCTGCTGACCGCTGTGGGGTAGGGAGTGAGGAGACGCACCTTTGGGTCTCCTGTTGGGACAGGACCCTCCTCACCCCCTTCTGCAGAAGCCCCCTTCGTGCCAGCCTAGAGCCTCGTGGCCTGGACTCTGGGCTTGCTGGTCAAGGATCTGCTTTCTCAAAAATTCCAGGTCTTTCTCAGTTCAGTTCTCATTGCCCCCAATCAGGGGCTCATGTGTTTGGGGCCACCTAATCTTTTGGGGGGGGGGCTATGGGGAGCTTAATCTTCATCTCTACAGCCTGTTTTTATTAAAGTTAACTTTGAGATGTTTTTTCTAGAGACATGTTTATTGCTGGGGGAGAGAGGGGTTTAAAATTTTTTTTTTCTTTCACTGAAGAAGGAAAGGGAAGGAGAAAGAAAGGGAGAGAATCATTGATATGAGAAACATCGATCGCTTGCCTCTTGCACGCTTCCCAACTGGGGACCAAACCCACAGCCAAGGCATGTGCCCTGACTGGGAATCGAACCTGTGACCTTTAGGTTTGCAGGACAATGCCCAACCAACTGAGCCTCACCAGCCAACCAGGGCAAAAAGGGGATTTTATAAAAGTAAGCATATAAGCGAGGGTTTCCATGCATTTTATTGCTTACTTCTCTGAGGCTTGGCTTCTACAAATGACCATAACTGCCTTGCCTGCCTCTTGGGAAAAGAAGGTGCCCAATGTTAGTTCTCCTTTCTGGCCAGGCAGCGTCTCCCCCCCACACACATCCTCAGAAGCAGAAGCACAGTCAGAGGGAGAGGCCTGCAGGCCTGCTCACCCGTGGGCGCATGGGGTGGGGTGGGGTGCTGTCCCCGGGGAACTCCCTTTAAAATTGCTCTTCAAACCACTCCCGGGCACGTGGTGCCTCTGCTGACGCGTTATGGCCCGGCGCTGTGGTCCTGGTCTTCCTCCGGGGGGGGGGGGCGTGGCTGTTGGAATGTGGGAGGTCATTTTCCGAGTCCTAGAGTGTCTGTCCATCCAAGGAGCCTGGTGGAGAAACTGAGGCCCCGAGAAGGGGGGTAGAGGAAGGCAGTGTGTGGTTAGTTGGTCCCTGACGTGGTGGCATGGGATGGGTTCACTGGGATTGAGAGTACTTTCCCCCTGCCCCCCAAAACCTGTAAGACCCTCATCCCCGAAGGTCCCCTTGCTTCTGGGCTTTGTGCTCAGCCTTTGCAAAGGCCCCTCCGACAGAGGCGAGGCCCCTCTCACCCTGTGTCCACAGGCAGCGTATTGCCTGGCTTTGAATTCCTCCTGACCAGAAAGCGGTTCTCTTTCTAATGTAGAGCTTTTCGTTTGCTTGTTTCTAGAGCAAATCATGGAGGAAAATAAAAAACATGGTGCACTGGTCTCCCTTCGTCATGTCCTTCAAGAAGAAGTACCCCTGGATCCAGCTGGCAGGACACGCAGGTAGTGCGGCTCTCTGGGTTTGCCGTGGGGACATTCGGCTCCCTGGGGAGTTGCCCGGCACATTGGCGGGGGCAGTGGGGCCGGGGAGGGGACCTGGCCCCGGCCCTGGCCGCTCCCTGTGGTGAAACTGTCCAGAACAAGTTCTTTCTGAGAATCGACAGTGGCAATTGCGGCCAGGCTTTCGCGGTGCGGCCGTAATGCCTTGAAAACACACACAGACCATCCCTTCCCCAGAACACGCAACACCCCCCTCCAGTCACTGTTTTTTTCAGCCTCTTCCTCTGTCTCTTCCAGTTCACCTCAATAAAACGCATGAAGTCGTAGATCTTAGAGCTCACCTGCCATTTGTTGTCTTGGATAGAGGCAACACCAGCTCTTTCATTGAACATCTATTGAGTACCCCCATCGCTGGGGGTCACAACATTCACGAAAATGGAGTCTGTGCCCCAAGACAGGGTGGAGTGCTGGGGACAGGGGGCCAAAGCCTCAGAGCTGTCCAGTCCCAAGGCACACGCCTGGGGGCCCTTTGGTGTGCGCTGTCCTCCAAGGGCATTCCAGTGGCTGCCCATGGACTTGGCCTTCATTACTTCAGGCCAGCACAGGGTCCAGCATTTCTTTTATGTCCCCATCCACCTTGGCCCATCCCAAGGTACGTGGACGCACCGCTTCCAAAGTACTGACCTGAGGTCGTGGCTCAGACGGAGCGTGGCCAGGTGGGTCAAGCCCTGGACCCCACCTCTCAGCCAGTCTCCCTGACCCCGCATGGAGCCAGGTCCCGCTGGGGTTTCTCCTGAGGCCAGAGACTCCTTTTTTGCCCAAGAAACAGGGGTGAGGATGCAGGCGGGAGTGGCAGTGGTAACACACAGAGGAGTGAGTGAGCCAGCCTTGGCGCAGAGGCTCACAGCCCTGCTGCCCCTCCAGGGCGCTGGTGCCCCTCCATCTCCAAGGAAGCTGGGGAACCTCAGAGTTGCAGTCAGTGTGTGGGGGGCTAGGACTTGCACCCACCCTTTTAAAGTACGTGGTCCACAGCAGAGACCTGGGCCCGCCTTCAGCCCTGTGCTTAGCAAGCCCCGAACCATCTCCGAGGGAGACAGGCACTGTCACCAAGGGGGCCACCCTGAGCGGAGCCATCACCCAGGGCCTCCTGTCCTCTTGCTCTGCAGGGAGCTTCAAGGCGGCTGCCAATGGCCGGATCCTGAAGAAGCACTGTGAGTCGGAGCAGCGCTGCCTGGATCGGCTGATGGCCGACGTGCTCAAGCCCTACGTGCCGGCCTACCACGGGGACGTGGTGAAGGACGGCGAGCGCTACAACCAGATGGACGACCTGCTGGCCGACTTTGACTCGCCCTGCGTGATGGACTGCAAGATGGGCGTCAGGTGAGCCGAGCTCCTCCTCCTCAGAGCAGTCGCCGGGCATCCTGGGCCTCCCCTGGGGCCTCGTGTGTGCAGGGGCAGGCCGGGCATCTGGTGGGACTACCAGACCCCCAGCGCCAGCCCAACCATCCCACATTTCGTGCAGAGGGGACAGGGACCCTGGCTTTGCCCCTGATGGCCTCCTCCCTTCTCTGTTGAGCTGGGGTGGGGCAGGAGCCAGTAGCTGGTGGGGCCTGGCTTGGTGCTGCATGTCCCCAGGGGAAAAAGCAGAGGGAACAGCCCATCCTGTCGGCCAGAGGGGTGGGAGGTGTTTGCTGGGGGTAGCAAGAAGGTAGCTTCCTGTGACGGGAGCTCTGAGGGGACGCTGGAGCAGGGGCTCTGCCCATTCCCCCCACACCCTGCCCTGTGCCAGGAGTGGGGAGAGAGCTGGTCAGTAGGACCTGTCGGTTTGCCCGCAAAGACTTGGCCTGCGTGAGGGCGCAGTGGAGGAGGGAGCCCGGCCCATACGAGGCCCTGACCACATGCACCAGCCGGCCCCCACCGAAGACTGGGGCTCGGGTGACCCAGCTCGGAGCAGGGTGCTCCAGAGCCTGGGGCAAAGTGCAATGGGTGCTTGGGCTTGTGTGTGGATTGGGAGCCCCGCCCCCACCCCAGACTCAGGTTCACCCTCATGTCTGCCGGGAGAGTAAGCAGGACAGGCCCCGAGGGGGTGGGGAGGAGGGGCAGGAGACTGGGGAGGAGGAGACGGGGTGCGTGGTGGTAAGAGGTGGAGGCCCTGAGACCCCACCATAGGAGGGCCAGACAGACACGGGGCTCCCAGCCCCTCTCACAGCAGAACAGGCTTCTAGAAGCAGAGCCTGGAGCAAGGAGCTTGTTTGCTTTCGATGGTTTAGGCAGTTTAATTTCTAATGAAAGGAGATTGGGAAAGATGACAGGGAACTCGAGACAGAGCAGGACAGAGGAAGAGTCACACGTCTCACACACACACACAGACACACACAGAGAAAAGCCAGGAGGCCAAGCCCACCAGTTTCGCTTCTCTTCGTACCCCTCCTGGCAGCTGCGTCCTAGACTCTGACCCTGCAGGCTGACTTCTGGTCCCTTGGCATCACCCCAGGGCAGGGATGGGGACAGGGAGTACAGGTCTCACTACTCGCCCTTACACCGTCCCTGCCTCCCTCCAGAGCCCTCACCAGCCCCAGCGCACAGGGAGGAGACAGAACGTCCCTCCAGCCACCCCTTGGCCACTGCTCTTCCCCAGAGTCTTATTTCTGCCCCAGGAAGCACCCTCACCCCCTCAGTGTACCATGATGTGCCCCCAAGGGGAAACATATAAATAGTCTGGTTGGTGTTCACTCAGAACGTGGCCAAAATAAGTACACCCTGTGGGAAGAACACATAGCCGGTCAGTCCCGAAGGGCTGCCCAGGGCACCAGTCTGTCCCTGGGAGGCCCTGGGGTATGGGAGTCTGCCTCTGCCCAGGGCTGCCCTGTCCCCCTGCCTCTTGCCGCTTTCACCCCACTGCACCCAAGGGCTCTCAGGAGGGACCCTGAGCAAGTCTGGTTCCGGTTTGACCCCGTCCTGGGCAGGGGTGGGGGGCAGAGGCAGTGGGGTGTGAGAGGGGCTCTTGTGGAGAGAAGGGGTGGGTCTCTCCAGGACCGGCCCTCACCCACTTTACCCTCCCTGCCTCATGGTGGGTCCCTCTGTGCTCCGGGCAAGTGCTGGGTGCTCCTCGGGGCCTCCCTGTGGCTGACCTTTCACACCTGAGGTCAGGGCCCCACGTCCTGAAGCAGCGCAGCCCTCGTTTGCCTCAGGGCCCCACCTGCAGGTCCAGTCTGGGCTTCACCCTGAACTTGCCGAGGGGGCTCCGTGGGCCCTGCATCCAAGCTGGGGCTGTGACGTTTTCACCTGCATCCATCCAGATGCCTTGGACTCACAGCCTCCCCTGAGGCCAGCAGTCCATAGTTGTCCCCCTCACCCCACCCCACCGAGCGTGGCCTGTGCTTGGCAGAGGAGGGAGGCGGAGCCCACAAGCTGAGTCCCAGGCCTGCGGGCCTGAGACTTGCCACAGGGTAGGGGTGGAAGGGCCGACAGGGCAACCCAGCCTCCAGCACAGTGGGAATCTGTAGGGTCCCAAACTAGAGGCGTCTCAGGACCCTGGTCCCACACAGACAGATGCTCACACTGTCTGGAGAGCCTTCTTAGCTGCAACCCTGTAAATCTGGGTGTGTCACCTGCTGCTGAAAGCCAGCAATGTCTTCCAGACCCAGACCAGGGCCTGGGGGCAGAGGCCGGTGCTGTCTCCAGGACCCCCGCCCTGTTGGAAGCTGCAGATGGCTGTGGAGTGTCACCAGTGGGCTCTCCGCCCCCCACCCCAAAGCCTCATACACACACCTTATGAGGTGGACGTTTGACCTTCCCCAGGAGGCAGAGGGGCAGACGGCAGGGCGGCATGGGTCGGTCCCCACTGTCCTGCTGAGGAACTCCTGCAGGCACCCCTGCCCAGCCCCTCTCCCTCCCCAGGGGGGGGCAGCTCCGCCCAGATCGAGCTGCCTGGGCCCTTCCTGGAAAAAGCCCTGTGCGACCAGGGGTTTGACAGGGAGGCCTGCTTCCTGTTTAAGGAGCCACTGAGAGCTCTTTGCAGAAGTGCAGCCGCCCACCGCCCGGCAGCCCTGTGGTGCATGGGGGGCCTGGGCGCCTGCGGCTCACCCGGCCACACTGTGCCACAAAGACCCGCACACTGGGCTCCGTGCAGGCACCTCCCGCCTCGCCGTCTCCGCCCTGAAGCTCACCCTCGCAGATTTGGCTGTGCCCGCACAGTGGCGTGAGCGCACGTGTGGGCGTGGGCACAGGCGTGTGCCAGTGCACCGCCAAGGATGCACAGTGTTCCTTACGCTCTTTGTCTCCTCTGGAAGGTTCTAAACGACCAGGCCCAAGTTCACATGCAAGGATTTGGGTTTTTTCTTCTATTAGTTGATAACAAGTGGTTTCTGAAAACGTTATCTTTTAAAGAGATCGTGAATTTGATAGTCAGTCTGTTCTGGGTCCCCAACCAGCAGCTTGGAGGTGTGGGGGCGTGTGGAGCAAGGCCCTGGGGACGGGCAGTGGAGAGTGGGGACCCGGCCCATTGTCACAGCAGGCCGCCTGTGGGCAGCTCCCGCCCACGCAGGGCCTGGCGAACAAAACTTCCCTCTACTGCAAATCATGCTGCACATTTCTGTCTCGTGAAGGGTCACAGGCAGCAGCTAAGCCCACTGGGTGGCGGGGGGGAGGGGAGTTTACAATGGAGCAGGGAAGGGGCTGCATGGTAAAGAGACCTTAGGCTTGGTCAGGCCTTCCTGGCTGGCTTGCGATGCAGCTGACGATGGGGGCGGGGGGATTCCACCGGGGCCAGCGATTCAGCCTCGGCTGCCTAAATCCTGTACTGCTCCTGCTCCTGTTACCCCACCAGTGTCCAGGGGACCCCTGCCAGGTCAGCCGGCAGGCCCAGCCTGCTCGTTATACACGTAGGACCGTGAGTCATGCAGTTGGACACATTTTCTTTAGCTTTTCGGGCTCAGGTGTGAGGAGGCACGGGCTGGGCTGAAGCCCCGTGTCCACAGGCAGGAGGAGCCGGGGGCGGAGCCCCAGGCTCCCCTCCCTGCCGTGGGCCCCCCCTGCTCCAAACCGTGGCCCGTGGAGAGGCCTCCTTCTGGCCTGACCTTTGTACTCAGAATCTGCCCTGTCTGCAGAGAGCTGCAGACCTTTGAGCCCCGCAGGCTGCCTGAGAACTGGAGAGGTGGGTGGCGGGGGGCACAGAATGAGCCCTCCGACCTGCTCAGGTGCTGGCTGCAGAAGCTCTCACTTTGTGGAAGGGGCCCAGGCAGCTGAGGAGGGACGGCTGGGGCCCTGCTGCACCCTGCCCGTGGCCCCCAGGTGCTGGGCCAGGGGGCTGGAGTCAGCTGAATGGGCCGGCTCACCCAGGGTGGGCGCGCACTCAGCTCGGGCTGCAGCCTGCTCCTGACCTTGCTGGGTGGGAGCAGCTTCATTCCAAGACCACTGGGAAGGCCTGGCCAAGCCTCAGGGTCTCTTTCTGCTGTCGGAGCCCCACCGGCCGGCGGGGAGGGAAGGGAGCAGGTTAGTTTGGCCGGCTGGTCTGGCCCACAGCCCTCACATGGCTGCCCCTCCCACGCAGGACCTACCTGGAAGAGGAGCTCACCAAGGCCCGGAAGAAGCCCAGCCTCCGGAAGGACATGTACCTGAAGATGATCGAGGTGGACCCTGAGGCCCCGACCGAGGAGGAGAAGGCCCAGCGGGCTGTGACCAAGCCTCGGTACATGCAGTGGAGGGAGACCATCAGCTCCACTGCCACGCTCGGGTTCAGGATTGAAGGCATCAAGGTGAGGCCAGCCCGCTGCCGCCTGAGGCCACCCGGGCCGCCCGGCTCCTGGGTAGAGAAGGGAATGGGGACTTGGGCTCCACCAGCACAGCACCCACCTCAGGAGGCTCAGGACCCTGCAGAGGCTGTGAGCTCCTTCTCTGCGGAGGCCCAGGGTGAGAGCAGCCAGTCCTGGGGACAGACATTTGGAGAAGTTGTCCTATGTTCCTCAGTCTGGGGACGGGCGGGATGGCCGCGTCGGGGGCTGGGCCCTAAGAGCAGGCCTGCCTTCCACGTCTCCCAGCAGCAGCCCCCTGCCGAGGACCCCACCCTTACAGCCCAGACCACACCGAGTACTGAGGGAACCCTCCCCGGAGCCAGGTTATAGGGTGCCCGCGGCCCAGAAACCAGGACGACAGGTGGGGCGACGCAGACCAGAGAGGGGGCACGCTGGCTGCGTTTGACAACCAGACCACAACCCTGGCTCTGCCCAGGCAGGCAGGGCCAAGCACCGCTCCTGTCCCCAGACGGCTCTGGTGGGGCTGCACTGAAGCCTCCGCCAACTTCAAGGCCACCTTGTTCGCTCTTCTTCCCTCTGGGGCCTCACGATGCTTTTCTTGTCTCCACCTGCCTTGCTGTGAGGTTTGAAGAGCCAGCTCAGATGTGTGCTCACCCCAAGGGGCAGGGCAGTGAGGCCCCAGGCCCCTCGGGGTCTCGGGCAGCCATCCCTCCAGAGCCCGCGGCGGTGGTCCCTCCAGCATTCTTCAGTTTCTGTGGTCTGTTCATTCATTCTTGGCCTTCGTGGTCCAGCCATAGAGTGAGGTCTGGGCAGCTCGAGCAGCTGAAGCCAGGGCAGGCTCTGCAGCCTCGTTCAGATGGCATTTTGGTGTGACGTTCTGCCGTCGGCGGTGGCGCCTCACCGCCTGGGAAAGGATTCGCCCTCCCCCGGGACAGCTGCTCTTCGAGCTCTGGGCTAAGAAAGCCATTTGCCCGCCCCCCAACCCCCCAACCTGTCTTCCCAAACCAGCTTTTCTGTTTCACACTCAGCCCTCAGACTGGGTGCCAGCTACACACTCCTCCTGCTCCTCTTCTTGCTCATTTTCCTTTATCCACCTTTCCCTGCACTTCTCCCTTGCAGGCTGGGTGGTCTGGTCTCTGTCCCCAGGCCGGCAGGCCGCAGGGACAGCCCGCAGCCTGTGTCCTTGGGCTGCAGGCCACCTCTCCCCTCCCCGGGTCCAGGGAACACCCTGCAGAGCCCCTGTGGGAGAGGCCACCCGTGTCCACCCCAGGGCCGGGCCCCACCTGTCCACTCAGAGGCAGCCGTGGGCTTTCCCCGACCCGCACCGCACTAGTGATGCTCAGGCCCAAGTGCAGGGCTCCCACACCCCTCCCCCTCCCCCTTCGTCCCAAAGAACTGGTTTCCTCTTAGAGGAGAGTGAGCACCCCGGGCCGCCCGGAGCAGCATGGAACAGAGAGATGTGGCCCGAGGGGACAAAGCTGCCTCACACGCCAGACAGACCCGGCAGCAGAGGCAGACAGACAGTGTTATTTCATGGCTTTCAGGGATCCTCATGAAAGGCCTTAAATTACAAGGGGACTTAAGCTGAACTTGGGGTCAGGAGTGCAGCAATCTGGTGAACGAGGGTGCTGTGGGTGGCAGGGACCTCCAGGCTCTCGGTTCCGGGGCCAGGCCTCTCCTCCAGCCCCACTGCACACACACTGGAGGGTGCTGGCCCCAGGGCCCAGGACAGGCTGCCCTCTGCCGTGCCGCCCGATTAGCTGCCCTGGGCCTGGGGGTACAGGCGCGGAGCACCAGGTCAGGCCCAGGCTCTGGGTGGCTGTCTCAGACCCCTAGGTTGGGGAGTGGAGGGCCTGCCCCCCCCCCAAGCCCCTCTGCTGACCCCTCCTGGGTTCACCTCCTTAGAAAGAAGATGGCTCTGTGAACCGGGACTTTAAGAAGACCAAAACTCGGGAGCAGGTCATCGAGGCCTTCAGAGAGTTCACTAAAGGGAACCGGAACATCCTGGTAAGCCAGGGCCCTGCCAGGGAGCCAGCCGCGGGGTCTCGGGCAGCAGCACGGTGCCCACTGGGCAGAGCCAGGCCACAGCGGTGTGCCACGCTGCCCACACGGCACCCGGCCCCACACTTCCTCATGGAAGGTGCAGAGGAAGGCGATGTGGCTGCCGGCCTGTCCTGCGGCAAACGGGGAAGCGCGGAGGACGCTCCCTCACTCTTTCCCTCGCCGCCAGCCTCGCGGCTCCCCAGAGCGGTCTCGGGCTTACGAGCAATCCTTTCCATTGCCAGGTTTCCTTAACGCCCCCGCCTGCCCAGCGATGTGCTGTGTGCTCATCTCAGCCTCGCAGCAGCCTCCGGAGGGAGTGGACACCCTCGTCCCTGTTCCACAGAGGAGGCAGCTGCGAGGTCGGGGACGCACAGCCAGGACAGGGCGGAGCCGGGATTCACCCAGATGGGCGGGGGGGGGGCTACTGGTCCCTGCACCCCGATCCTCCCAGGCCACGAGGCTGAGTGAAGGGAGTGTGCCTGGTGGGGAGAGACATAGCAGCCTCCCGGGGAAGAACCTGCCAGCTGTCTCTGAGCCTGGAGGTGGGGGTGGCAGGAGTTCATGACAAAGTGACTCCCTTCACCGCCGCCACAGCAGACAGGCTGGACGGACACTCTGTCCCCTGGGATCAAGACCCTGGTCCTCCCAGTGGATGTGGGGCACACCATGCCTCTGCACCCCACGGGCAGGGCGCCTGGGCCCACCACGCACATGGGCCCCTTCCTGAGAGAGACACCTTCTCCTGAACCAGCTTCCAGGGCTGCAGACCGGGGAGGGGGGGGGATCGGATGCCTTTTCTCCAAGGACACCCGGTGCCGGCTGGAACTGGGGTTCTCCCTCCCTTCCTTTTCCCCTGGGGAGCCTTCCTTTGGCCCCTGGCAAGCATCAGTCATGGGGCATCGCCCTGGCTCGTACACAGCCCGAGCCTGGGGGTGCTGGGTCACCAGCTGCTCAGCAAAGCCTGCTCAGAATGCACCCTATGAGAGAGGTTTATTCTACGTGCTGGACTCCCGGCTGTCCCTGCTACAGATGGGCACTGAGGGACAGTGTGTGCCTATGTGCTCCAGGCATCCCCAACTGTCCCCGGGGGAGGTGGGCATCTCCAGGGCCAGCACAGTCAACCAGATTTGGAGGGCTCTGTGGAGAGACCCCTGGCAGAGATATCTGTGGCTCCCTCACTTTGAACTTTCAAAAGTCAGGGCACTGAAGTTTATATTCAGGAAGATACCATGGCAACAGGGCTCCTAGGATGCTGCATTCCAGAATAAACTTAACCCTTGTGGGAGGAGCTCCTGGAGGCTGCACGGGTGCTTGGGAACTGGCCCCCCACCCCACCCCTCCTGCTCACAGAGCAGCGGGTACTGGGCAGGGCACGGGACCAGGAGCCTGGCCACCCTGCCTCCTTGGGGCCTCAGTCGCTTCGCTTCTAGATGAGGAAGCTGGAGTGCATTGTCAGGGTGTAGCCCCTTCCCCCTGACGCTCAGGGGCTTTAACAGCCACAAATGGCCCTAAAACCCCACCACCACCCCCAGTCCCAAATGTTTAAAAATCTGGTCATCCTTTCATTCCCAGATCGCCTACCGGGACCGGCTGAAGGACATTCGGGCCACCCTGGAAGTTTCTCCCTTCTTCAAGAGCCACGAGGTGGGTGTTGGAGCTGTTGCTTTCCCCAAGCAGAAGGCTGCACCCAGGGTGGCTGGCCCAGTCCCCGGAGCTGGGATGAACCTCCCTCACCAACAGATCTGCCTGCTCCAAAAGCCCAGGGGCGTTTTCAGAATGACCGCAGCCAGAGGCAGGCCCTCTGGGATCAGGCCCCTGGCCTCGTGCAGGGCCCAGGTCCTAACCCATCTGTGCCAGGAGCCCCGAGATGACCGCTTGGGACTGTCCTGCCTGAGACCTGGGGTCACACCTTCTGTGTTCTCCCTCCCAAGGTGGGAGGCGTAGCTGTGGTCTGAAGTAGTGGAAAGTGTGCAGGCTGGAGCTCGTAGTGGGCAGGGAGTGCTCAGCAGTCTGCCCTCCGGGACCTCCTCCCTGCCCCTGCCCCCACAGAAGGGCAGCCGCTGTTCAGGAACCTGACGTCCTCTGTCCCCCACCCCATGGCCGCCGTCCCTGGGCTTTGCCGTCCAGGTGAGAACAGGAGGGCAGGTCAGCAGGCTCTGGGCTTCCCCAGAGTGACCTCTCCCCGGTCAGGCCTCAGGTCAGGCCTCAGGGTTTTCCAGGTCCCCCCAAGAGCCAGGTTGCTGTGGGGCAAGGGCCCGGTAGGCTGACCCCTCCTCACCACCCCGCTCCCCTGCAGGTCATTGGCAGCTCGCTCCTGTTCATCCACGACAAGAAGGAACAGGCCAAGGTGTGGATGATCGACTTTGGGAAAACCACGCCCCTGCCCGAGGGCCAGACCCTGCGGCACGACGTCCCCTGGCAGGAAGGCAACCGGGAGGACGGCTACCTCTCGGGCCTGAACAACCTCGTGGACATCCTGTCCGAAATGTGCCAGGGCCCGGGCTCCCCCTAGTGCCCACCTGTGCCCACCCCACCCTGTCCCCGGCCTCTCCCTCCCTCTTGTCTGCCCTTCTCCTTCTCAATTCTTCTCTCACATCTACCTGGGTGCAAGCCCCAGAACTGACCCTCCCAAACTGCACTACAAGACACTTTGTAGAAGAGGAGAGGAGACTTCTAGTTACTTCCTGTCTGAGGGGCTTCAGCACCGTGGCTTCCGCTCCTCTCTGTACGTAGGGTCTCCTAGCAGAGCAGGGCCCGAGCAGGCTCTAGTGCCTGCAGGGCAGGTCGGTTGGGTTTAGGTCCAGGTGGAGGCAATGTGGCCCCGCAGTCCAGTCCCCAGCCTCTGGGTGGGCTCCCCGTGGGGGCCTGCTGCCCTCTGCTGGCCAGTGCTGTCAGTGCCCAGCACTGCCCATTTCTGCCCCCTCCTCCCAGCCTGGCGAGGGGGTGCTGTGTAAGAGCCCACGTGCCAGCAGGTGCCTGGTGCCAGGCTTTCTCGTGGTTGGGGTACCACATGTCGGCCACAAGCAGAACACCCCCTGATTAGCAAGCAGCCCAGGTGGTCCAGAGATGCATGCTGGCCTTCATGGACCCTTTAGGGGCTGGTGTTGGAAACTTCCAGCTTTGGCCCAGACCCGGGAGGGAGCCAGGAGGAGGTCAGAGCTGACCAGGCTGTGCTCTCTGACATTGGCCTCCCTCCTGGGTGCGGCAGGAGCCGTGGCCTTTCACCTTGACCATCACCCACAGATTGGGAGGGCCTCTGCAAACCTGAGCTGCCAGGGCTGCAGCCACCACCTGAGCCACTGTGCCTCCCACGCCCCACCTGGACCTTGCTGTGACAGGGGCTGGGGAAGGCGGGGGTGGGGCGTGGGGCACAGGCAGCCCCCAGTGTGAGAGAGACAGAACCTACATGGGGCACCCCCCTCACACACCCCCACCTCTCCCACCTCCCTGGTAACACAAAGCTGCCCTGCCTGTGCCTGAGGCCCAGGGTCCCCCGCAGGTACAGGCAGGGCTTCAGGCCAGCGGCTGGGCAGGGAGGAAGCAGGAGGAGACTGACTTCCTGGCCCCTGGGTTTTCCCCTGAGATGAGTCTTACGGCCTGAGGGGCTCAGGCCTGTGTTTCCCCATGTAGTGTGGACAGCTTCCAGGGTACATGGTGGGCACTGGGGGTCCCCAGGCCTCTCTTCCTGGAGCCTCTAGGTTGCTGGAAGATGCACGGGGGAGCAGTTATAAGCTTTATTCTCATTGTAAAGCAAGTAAGTCTGTGTTATTAAGAGTAATATCGAATTTGCATGACTTTTAAAGACAGGATTCCAGCTCTGGCCACTTGGAGTGGTGCCCCAGGGGCCCCACCTTTGTTGTCGGAGGAGATTTGGGGACCAGGCCAGCAGGCACTTGGGGCCAGTTGCTCCGTAGGGAGCTGCTGCAGGGACACTGTGAAGACAGTGGGTGCCCAGGTGTGTGTGCCCAGGGGGACCAATCCGGAGAGAGGGCTTCGTAGGCCACCTCCCTGTCACCCCAGGGTCTGGGGGAACTGTCAACTCACCCATGTGACACATGTGCTTCCCCTTTCACGTTGGGTGAGTGACGGTTGGTGGGGGCAGAGGGTGGTACAGGAGGATGTGTGAGCTCAGATTTTTAAAAGGAAATCACGTTTCAACTTCCTGGCTCTTGTTCAAAATAGTGGTGACCTGTGCAGGCTGACTTGCTAAAGGTCACAGCCCCGCCCCTTCGGAGCACAAGAGACCTTGTGACAGCATGTGACCCTGGCAGGCAGGAGCCAGGGGAGCCGTATGCACCCGTGGGCTACAGGGACCCCACCCCGGTAGTCCATGGGCAGCTCCCTGCAGGGAGGGGTGTCATTAATTTAAATGTCAAGGTCCTACAACTGTGGGCTGTCCAAAAGCTACCTTCCTCCTATCTATGAGAACAGTTCGCAGAAGCAAATTAATGCTATGAACAAAAATTACACGGGACCAGCTCCACCTACTTCCAGAGAACAAACAAACACTTTAAGCAGGCACCAGTTGTTTGCAAATGATGTGCTAATATGCAAATGATTTGTTTATTAAAGGAGACCCATGGGGCTTCCTACCGGCAATCCTTTGCTTTGGGGTTACATTTATATGTGAAAGTGGCATATTTTTAGGGTTATTCTGTTACTTAGGGTTTCGGGTTTTGTATTTACTGACCTTAGTCTCTTCCACACCTAGTCTCTCTACCCTTTCTCCCCTCTGACCTTTCACCCTCCTCGTGTGGATCCTGGAATGGAATTTTCTAAAACCCCAGCCGAAGCTGCCTGAAAGGCCCTCCCCACCCAGCCCCGTCGTACGGCAGGGCCTCCTGGGACCCCAGCCCTGCAGGTGCCACGCGGGCGGGCGTCTGTACTGCCCGGTCCTCGCGCTCCCCACCCTGCCCCCCGCCACCCCGTGCAATCCCGGTGTTCAGTACGGCTTCGCCTTTGAGGGAGCTTTCTCAACTGCTCGTCCCAGACTTGCCTTTCGTGTCTCGTAAGAGGTTTTTAAGTTATATTTATTTTGTTGGGTTTTTTTAATTGCACAAAACACTAAGACTGAGAGGCTGGATTCTGTTTCTCCTCTACAGCTCTGCCTTCTTTCCGAACTTCTGCCCCGTTGGGTGGAAACAGCCTGGAGGCCGCCTGGTGCCCCTCCCCGCCCCCCTGCCCCGCCCCCATCCCCAGGTGGGCTCTTTCCTCCCTTTGCTGTATTTAGCTTTGAGTTTCTCCGCATCCCTCCGGTCAACCCTTGTGTGTGTGCAGAACCCAGGCGCCCTCCTGGGAAGACAGAGTGTTCACCTGAGCCAGTGCCTTCTGTCCTGGGGGGGAGGACTCCCCGGAGGGTCCTCCCGCCTCCGCACTTCTCTCCCCGCAACACCTTGGAGAAAACTGAACTGTTACAAACCCTGCACAGTGCCTGTCAGACTGCAGACGCTCTGTACCTTCCCGAATAAAGGCCCTGGAGACCACGGTGCTGTCTGCAGTGTGGTCCTTCTCCCCGAGCCCTGGAGAAAGGCCTTGGGGGCGGGGGCTGGGCGGGGGCTCTTTGGAAGCTGGAGGACTGAGTCGGGGGGGATCGTGACTGCCTCCCCACCTTGGGGTATGGGGTCAGGTTGGGTAACGTTTTAATCTGAAGGGTTTAAAGCATTCTTCAAAGCTAGTCTTTTCCACAGAACCTTTACATAGCAGTTCAGGAACGTTGAACGGCCGCAAAGAAAGGCTTCTCCCCCGACCCCCGCTAGGCTGGGAGAGCCCCTGCAGCCTTTGGGGGGTGTTCACACTTGTAGTCCCCCCTTTTTTCTCATCTTCATCCAAGGATATATTTATTGAGTAGAGAGGAAGGGAGAGAGGGAAACATCAATGGGTTGCCCCGTCTGCACGCCCCAGCCGGGGATCAAACCTGCAGCCTAGGCCTGTGCCCTGACCTGAGACTGTACACCCGAGCTCCTTCGGTGCACAGAGACAACACTCCGACCGACCGATCCGCCCGGCCAGGGCCTACAATACCCTTTTACCCCCAGATCAACTCAGTGAACAAGGCTGTGTCGTCTCCAGTTTAGAGATGGGGAAGCTGAGGCTTTGCAAGATCAAACACCTTGGCCTGGGTGATAAAATGGGAAGCAGGGACTTAGATCCAGGTACTGCCTGGGTCTCTAAACCACTCCTGTCTCCCTCCCGACCCAGGGAGTGTGGGGAGGGCACAAGCTTGTGTTCTCTCTGCCGCCCGGTTCCCAGGCACCAAGCGTGGGCCTGGCACCCTGATGAGCAGTGTCGGCTGGTCTGACGAGGAAGAAGAACGAGAGCAGGCGTGTCCGCAGCACATCGGAGACGCACCGCCGCCTGCCACCCCGTCCCCAGCAGGCCTCTCCCCGCTCTGCACTGCTCGGGGCTCCACACGCAGAATTCTGTATTCGGGGGGTCAGGCACATCCTTATCATTTTGAAAAATTGTGAAACAGCTGCAAGGTTTTTGCCCTTTCTGTCCCTTCTGCCTGGGGTGTGCTTCTCCGGTTATTACACAGTAAGTGTGGGGACTTCAGATTCCCTCATCTGTGTCTTATTCCTCTCGCTGCCCCAGCCACCGGCTCTGTGGGCTCCCACCAGGCTCACCCTGGACCCACCCAGGCTCATGCCTGTGTGACCTGGGGTTCGGGGAGTTAAAGCCTCAGGCTCACGCCTGGCAGCAACGGCAGACAAGAACGGGACGGTCGGTCGTGCCTTTGCCTCCCAGCCCACAGGTGGATGCAGCCTTCTCACTGGCTTTCCAGAGGGTGGTCCCATGAGGTCGGCCAGCCAGCTGCAATGCACTTAGTGGGCCAGCAAGGGTCATTGTCCTTGTATCAGGGCTCCCAGGCCTTGACCTGCACTTCCACTTAGGGTTGCACTCCAACAAAGCAGTGGGAAACAAGCCGCCACTCTGACGGCTCGCTGGGGACCCGAGCAGTTACCAACCCTGAGACCTCAGCTCAGATGTTGCCGCTGCAGAAACGTCTCTGCCCCCACCGCCAGGGCAAGGCCAGCGCAGCCACTGTGCCCCATCACACCTATGTGTCACACCCCTTCTCGGGGTTTGCAGCCACCTGTGGGACTTGGGCTCCGTCTCCTCCACTGGGACGTTGTCCCTGAAGGCAAGGGCTGGACCCTTGTCTCTGCAGCATCTCACAGTGCCACGCGTGTGACAGATGCTTAGTAAACGCTGGTTGGCTGGGGCGGCTGAGCGCCCTGGGTGGCCACGGCAGTCGGGGGCATAGACACCCCTTCCCAGGCAGGAGGACCACTCCCAGCGGGCGTGGGCTCCTGGCCTCTCCCCCTGTGATGTCCTGCAGCTGTCCCTTCTCAGTGTCCACCTAGACAGTGTCATTGCCGATGACCGGCCAGCAGAGGCGCTTGCAGACGCTTCCTTAACTGGGCGAGCCTCGCTTCCTCTGCGCCTCACAACCCGCTCCTCTGCGGGTACCCCCACACCGTGGGCTTTGCAATCGCCCCCAAACGTGTGCATCCCCCTGCTCCTTAAACATGGCCCCTTGTGTTCGTCCAGGCTCCTCTGTCCAGCCTTCTGGGCCCACTTGCCCGGCTGACTGACAATGCTTCAAGCCTTCGACAATCCCCCAGCACCTCTGCCGCCCCCCCTTCCCCCTCCCCGAACCGTCCAGCTTTCTGAACAGGCACCGCCTTAGAACTAGGGCCCACCTGTGTTTTAAATAGAGCATTATTGGGAGCAAGCACTCACTTCTGTGGCTGCTTTCAACTAAAATAGCAGAGTCGAGGAGTTGCCAGGGACCACCAGCTGCAAAGCTGCAGACACATTTACTCTCCGGCCCTTTTATAGAAAAGTGTCCCAACCCCGGCCTTGGAATCATGGCAACCGCTGATGAAGAACTACACCTGCCAGTCCCCACACCAGGTGATTTAAGGCTAAGGAGCTTCATCCGTATAAAAACTCCGTCGGGTGAGCTTCGTGAGCCCCATTCGGTCTGTATGAAAGCAGAAGCACAGAGAGGATGAGTAATTTACCTGGGGTCACACAGCTGGTAAGCAGCCACCCCAGGCTCTGAACCAAGGCTCAGGACCTTTCCAGACCCTTCACGACTGAGTCTTCTAAGAGCAGGCTGGGTCCCGGCACACGGCCACCTCCCAGGATTGTTGAGACAGCCTTGTCGTGAAGTTGTGAGCCTTGGTTTCGGTGACTGGAAACCAGACCAGGCCCTGGGGATGGCGATCCCAAACATGGCTCTCTGCTGGGGCTGGGGCTGGGGCTGGGGCTGGGGCTGGGGCTGGGGCTGGGCTGCAGAGCCCAGGCCTTGGCTCTGGCCCCCAACTCCAACAGCCAGTGTGGGGGTACCAGGGTGGGGTGGGGACCCGGGATCAGGAGCTCTCTGGCACAGTGTGTTCTTGGCTCTGTGTGACCCTGCAGGGAAGTGCAGCCCACGCAGGCCTCTGTTCCCTCAGAGCCGGGTGACATGCAGACACCCAGACTCGCTCTTCCCCTCCCGCCCTGCCCCCGCCCCCACCCTGCCCTGCAACAGACTGCAGAACCAAGTTCACTTGCCAGCTCACCGGTTGGCTCACATACCCTTCCACAGAAAACCAGAAAACGCACCCTGGTGCTCGCAAACACCCAGAAACAGCTTGCCTGTCATTTTTTTCTCTTTGCTGGGACCACTGTGGCCTGCCCCTGGCATTTAGTGCACCCCCCTGCTCAGGCCTGAGGTGACCAATTCAACAGAGAAGTGAGGAAGGCAATGCCGGATGCCCAGCTGAGAGGAGGAATTTCACCCCTGAGCAAGATGTGAAGGCTTGCAGGTGTTTTTACACCAACAAAAACACTAGTTTGCTATGATGCAAACAACAATAACATAAAAAAGGGAAGTGCTTCCCTGAGTAGGTGCCTGTCTCCGGTCACTTGGGCTGCCCTGACAACAGACTGTGGGCCGTCCTGACAACAGACCTCAAACGACAGAAATGCATTTCTCACAGTTCTCGGCACTGGAAGCCCCAGATCCAGCTCTGGTGGGGTTCGGTCTCTGGGGAGAGCCTCCTTCTGGCTCACAGATGGCCACTTTTTCATGGCATCCTCCCCCAACAGAGAGAGAGAGACCCTGGGGTCTCCTAAAGGCACCATCCCCACCCAGTTAGGGCCCCATCTTTATGACCTCACTTAACCTTTTTCAGGCCATCACTTTGGGGGTCAGGGCTTCTTCAACATGAACATTTGGGGGCAAGGGGGCGGGAAACACAAACATTCACCCCCTAACAGTGCCCCCTCTTGCTAACGAAACATCACAGACTGCTTCCAACTCCCCCTTCCCTCCCCTAACTTCTTCCAACCTTGTGAATGAGTGAAGCAGTTCTGGGCTGTGGAGGTGGGGGTGGGGTGTAATGCTAATGTCTGTGGTTTTCTATGTGGCAACATGTATTTGGGCTACTTTCAAAATAGTTTCTGCAAACCATGGGCACACGGTGTCAGGCTGAGACAATTTGCTGTCGCCAGCAGCCCCGTTTAATTTCCATGGGGGAAAAGAAACTGCCCAGTTTTAGTCTCGCTTTCTGAGAACAAGAGCTGGAGAGAAAGCAAGAGATAGGGGACCCTGACAGGGGAGGCTGCCCCCTTCAGGACAGTCGTGTGCATTACAAGGTACTGAAACAAGGTAGGTGAGGTCATTTTTTAAAATATATTTTATTGATTATGCTATTACAGTTGTCCCATTCCCCCCCCTTTTCACCCTCTGCCCTGCACAACCTCTCCCACCTACATTCCCCCACCTTTAGTTCATGTCCATGAGTCATACATATAAGTTCTTTGGCTTCTACATTTCCTATACTGTTCTTAACCTCCCCCTGTCTATTTTCTACCTACCATCTATGCTACTTGTTCTCTATACTTTTATCCCCTTTCTCTCCCTCTCACTCCCCTGATGATAACCTTCCATGTGATCTCCATTTCTGTGATTCTGTTCTTGTTCTAGGTGTGTGCTTGGTTTGATTTAGTTTTTGTTTTAGGTGTGGTTGTTAATAACTGTGAGTTTATTGTCATTTTACTGTTCATATTTTTTATCTTCTTTTTCTTAGATAAGTCCCTTTAACATTTCATATAATAAGGGCTTGGTGATGATGAACTCCTTGAATTTGATCTTATCTGAGAAGCACTTTATCTATCCTTCCATTCTAAATGAAAGCTTTGCTGGACAGATCGATCTTGGTTGTAGGTCTTTGGTTTTCATGACTTGGAATACTTCTTTCCAGCCCCTTCTTGCCTGTAAGGTCTCTTTTGAGAAATCCGCTGACAGTCTGATGGGGACTCCTTTATAGGTGATTGTCCCCTTATCTCTTGCTGCTTCTAGGATTCTCTCCTTCATTTTAATCTTGGCTAATGTAATGATGATGTGCCTTGGTGTGTTCCTTCTTGGGTCCAACTTCTTTGGGACTCTCTGTGCTTTCTGGATTTCCTGGAAGTCTATTTCCTTTGCCAG